GTGAAGCTTTTCCAGAAGGCGGTTAGATCACCGGACGACAGAGTCGGTCTCCGTGTGCACAGACAGGGCTGCTGTTAACGTCGGTCTGTACAACGGAATTGTGCCAAAACGACGCCAACCGGCTACGGAGGGAGACTCCCCCCCCCCTTCACTGGAGAACTGCGCTAAAACAGCTGATCACAACGTTCACACTCTGGGGTCACTAAGTACTCCACTAGCCGCCCCCCCAGTCGACTTTCCTGAAGTACTCCCCCGTTGATAGAAATCAACACGTAATGAATTAAGACCCCACGGTTTGATGATTGATAGGTGTATGGGTTGTCTTTCATTTTGACACGCAGAAAAATGTTATAGGCTAATAAACATAGATACTGTATGTTAAATGGATATATCCGCCTTCTTTCATTTATCTTTCCATTCCCACAACAATATGCATAAATAAATGGCATATTTTGGACATAGGCCTAGTTCGAATGGTGATTAATCATGATTAATTAATTTTTAAACTGTGATTAATCTGATTAAAAAATTGTAATCGTTTGACAGCCCTAGTAATAATACATATTAGTAAAAATAGCTGTGTGTGTGTGTGTGTGTGTGTGTGTGTGTGTGTGTGTGTGTGTGTGTGTGTGTGTGTGTGTGTGTGTGTGTGTGTGTGTGTGTGTGTGTGTGTGTGTGTGTGTGTGTGTGTGTGTGTGTGTGTGTGTGTGTGTGGAAGTCAGTCATCTAAGGTTTCAACAGATGAGGATTCACACAGAGGACCCTTGGTCAACCTTTTACCTTTAACTGCTCAGGTATATGGAGGTCACATCTGGGGTATTCATATGTCCTCCAAACCTTGGACGGCTGGTGTTATGTGTTTTTGAAATGCTTGTGTCTGGAAGAGTGGTTTCTGTCCTCTGCAGGTTCAATTGTCAGTTAGCAACCAGAGTTCAGTGCATGGCACAAAAGGTCTAGTTATTTAATGATTCAGAATACAATCAACAAGCGTTAAGCCATGGGAGAGGCCCTGAACCTGCCGTCGCATGGTCAGAATGTCTGTACAGAAATATTTCCCAGGATAAACTGTGGGAATGAGGCCCTTCTCTCTGCACGATATTATTGGTGTTCACTGCAGAAGGTTCATACGGAGGCTCCAGGGTAGGCTTATTTAGGGCAGCGCAACATTCCAGGATGATAGGTGGAATTAGGGCCTCAAATTGTCCAGTTTGTCTCACATTCTGTCTTATGAGGAGAAAGGTGTTCATATGCAAGAAATGCATTTATATGAATCTTAAATATATAGTCTAATTTACAACAAAATCATTGATATATAATTTATAAAGAACAACATAGACAAAAGGTTAGTTACATTTCAAATACAGAAAAAATCCTCGTGGTAAATAATCTTGTGATCTAAAGAAAACAAAGTGTCTTTCTTGAAATAACTGGATAATTGTCCCCTCATTGTTTTTTTTTGTTTTACCCGTTTTCACAAGAAAACTACGTTTAGTTTTCTCCAGATAACTGTAAAATTATGCTTTTGAGGTAATATTATGATTACAACATATTTAACGAATGACCTTGTGATAAGGCCAACATCAACACCATGGGAGCAATCTATAAATAAAGTAAAGTTTCTAAAAGTACTTGATGTATACTTTGTGCAGTTGTGCACTTTTTGTAATCCTCGCGTGTAGAAAGGTTAAATAAAAAAAAATAAAAACCTCTGCGGGCTAGAAGAATGTGCAGGTGCTCAATATTATCTTACCATTCAAAGTAAAAAATGTATCAGATACTGTTCAATGGACAGGCCTACTTAAAAAGAGAACTGTTTTATGACTGTATGTGGTGGAAGTTCATAGTTCAGCAGGAGGTCTGGAGTAAATCATATACAAAACACATGACGTGGAGTACTGCAGTTGACCTTGGAAGCAACACAAGACAATAAAACCCCAGGTTTCTCAGCTGTGCACCACCCCACCTGCAGCCTCCCAAGACAGAAGAAACTTAAATATTTCCCTTGAAAGTATTCCACTGGGTCTTAGTCTTTATTTTTGCTACATGAAGTCTGACTGACTCTACACCAGATGGCTGTAAATTGTAGGCAAATGTTTTTTACACTCTCTCTTAATGTTGTCTTAATTTATGAGCATTGTACAAAAGTGACAGCTGGCGTTTATAAGTAAGATTTATATGAATTGAAAACAGAAAAGTAACCCCATTAGTGATTATTTGCTTTAACTATTTTTGATGGGAGCCTCAGTGCCATTTGTTCCAAGACAACTTGTTGATAATCCCCAGCAAAGGTTTTTAGTAGTAGAGAAGTACAACAAACAGTAGTCAGTGGTAATGTTATAAGTGTTTTTTTTTTTAGTATTTGTCATTAATCTGCAATCAGAACACAGGTCTGCCATTAAGAATCAAACACTTTGCACTAACAGCCATTCCCCTCCGGATCGTTGTGCCATACTTTCAGTCAGTTCCTAAACTAGTTTGTCAGTTGAGTATTCGTTCAGTTTGTCTGTTTCCCTAAGAACTTACACTTGCTCTCTTTCCTTCAGAAAAACCTGCCAGACTTACCTGTTTGCCAAGCCCGCCAGCCAACTTTCATTTCTAGCTTTCTTTTCAGCGCAGGATTCCCTTTCCCTCAACAACAACACACACCAACAAGCCACATCACTACTCTTCTGTTATTACAAGTATTGTTTAGTAGTAGTTGCTTATCCAGATTATGTGGTTGGACTCTGCATCCAACTGTGCTCCAAACCAGAGCAGGAAATTAAAGATAATTATATGTAAGAGCCGCAGGGATAATCCGTCCGTCTACCACGCCCTTTGGAAACCGTTTCTTCTTCTTGAACAAGAAGGGGAAAAAACGTAGCAAGTGTATCAACTCCTGAGAGCTTAACAACATTAAGATTGAAAAAAAGACATCCTCAGCTTCTTATGAACTCTGCTTTTGCCTCTCTCCAGGTAGCCATGGAATTCACCAGGAGGGACATCTGCAATGCTAATCCCTTGGAGATAATCCCTAATGGACACAAATATACCCCTGGGACCCTTCTAGTACCTTGTGTTGCTGTTTGATCTCAACAACGCCCATGAAGCAGCTAAACACCTTAACGATATGTTAAATAGTTCAGTTTTTTTTACATATATGATATTCTGATCCTTTTCATAGACCTCTTTAAGAGTTGTGTGCGTATTCATCAAGTCCTCCAAAAGGTCCTGGAGGAGCCAGCATCCACCTCTTCTCTGGGCTCTGAACTACCTCAACTGTCTTGTGTTGATCAACCCATCCACCTGGGCCTGGCAACTCCATCACCCACATCTGCGATACTCGTTTATCTTTTCAGTGCTTTTATGTTTAACAACCTGTTTAACAACCTCTTCCAATCCCAGGAACAGGACATCCCCGTTCCATCTGTCCAAGTGCCAGGTCTTGTGGAACCGTTCTGCCCTGTTGAGAGCCTCTGACCAGTATTCCACTCACAACTTCTCCCCTTGAGACAAGGTATGGCTTCCTACTCCGGATCTGCCTTCAGAAACACATTCTTAGAAACTATCCAACAGATTCAATGGACCCTCTGTAGGAATGAGGGTCATAAGTCTTTCAACTGAAACTCCCAAGTGGGGGGTGGGTCCACATCTTGAATATCATCATTCATTGTACACAATGCATAAGAGCGTTACTGCATGGCATAACTTTTAAAGACTGTGCCTACTATTCATGAAAGTCTTAGGTTTGTTGAATTCATGTCAAGCCCATTCTATGAAGTACATATTCTCTAATGCTCCTGCTTTCTTCATCATTCTCTCTGTGTATCTTTTAGTATTTTTGGATTGATTTATGATGTCTTTTTTTATGTAATGGGAATCCTCTTCAATTTGTATAAACCATACATAGATATATTGTGTCCCACTAGTTTTTGGAAAGTCACTGCTTTTACCTGGTCTGGTCAGAATGGCTGATTTACCTAAGTTGGAGTCTCATTACTGAGTGTCTAAATAAACAACAATATCAAACAATAACCAGATATATTCTTCTATTCAACGATATATTTTAACAGTGAATGCTTTTACTAAACCAGTGTTGACGCATTCCTCATAAGAAATTGGGCAAATATAAATACAGGAAAACAGTTATCCCAAATTGTGCCAAAACTTGTCCCCCACATTAAACCCCCTTCCATGGGAACGCTGTAAGTGTACTATAACAATGTGGGGGCTGAACCAACAGGAATAACATGTTTTCATTGTGGCTTTTCGTTTACAAGAATACACTTCATAATTAGGTTCATAACTTGGTGCTGTGTGACAAAACGCTGACCGACTTTAACTGTTGTGTTTTTTACTAGTAACTATTGCTGCTTTTTGCAAAAAAATATACAAGGTGCAAATATTTTATTAGAATGAATAAGTAAATATTGTTAGCTCAACATTATTCAAAGGAACTATTTGACTAACTAGACAGGGGAAGAGAGTCCCCCACTGCGAGGGGGGATCCAAGTTCCCATCAGCAAAAACACGTGGGTTTGCTATCCTGGCTCCAAAATGGTGGAATGAGCTCCCCATTGACATCAGGACAGCAGATAGCTTACACACCTTCCAGCGTAGACTGAAAACTCATCTCTTTCGACTCCACTTCGAATGATAGAATTACTAACAAAGAATTGCTAACAAAGCACTTATATACTAATAAAGGACTGGCTTATCTAAAGCCAGTTGAGTCACACTTGAAATATTTTTGGCTCTATGAAACCTGATGTACTTATATGATTCTGTTTTCTTCAAGTTTGTATCTTCCTGGTCGAATGCACCTATTGTAAGTGGCTTTGGATAAAAGCGTCAGCTAAATGCAATGTAATGTAATGTAATATAAACCCCTGTCAAAAAGTGCCACAATTAACCTTTTTTTCGTTTCGTATACGCATTGAGACAAACATTATCATGGTCAAGCTCATTGACAAACACATTGCAAATTCCTGTGAATACCGTATAATAAAAGTCAACTCGTGTTTAGCCAGTAAAAATATTTTAATGTGAAGCTGCAGCAGTAGGAAATGTTTCGCTTTGCATTAGCAGAATGTTGCTACAGTTTATATCATTGCAAATATATTAAAAAAATGTAATAATTTCATCATTGTGTTATCTCATTCGTTGATAGATTATTTACCACAGATATTTATTTATATAAAAATCTACTTCATAACCACTTCAATTCATTATTACATGCACCACCTATGACCAAAATCAAACGCACCACAGCCTGGCTAACATTCTAAATACTAAAATGGTGGGTCCTCCAGCCGTGACCTGTGCGTTCAATGAGGAACTTTTACCTTTAGTGAGGTATGTGAAGACTTTCTGCTCTTTGTTTAAAATTATCCCTGAAATGCCTCATTCTTCTTTGGTTGTTTGATGGTTTGGAAAAGTGTGCAGTGTTGTCTTTGCTTTAATATGTGCGTGTGTGGACTGCAGCTACTGTATATTGTTTATATATGATCATGCTATCTGCTGGTAATGTTTGGTGATGTTTAATTGTGCTATAAAGTTAATTTTATAATTGTTATATTCGCTTATTGCAACCACTCTACTGTTATGTTATGTGGCTGGGAAGGGCTATGAAATTGAAATGGAATTAAGTGTTGGCAGTCATTTTGCTCATGTTTCACTATTGTATAAATTGACATTTGTTGCCATTTATTTTTTAGCCAAAGAATTACCTTTGAATTATACAGTAGTATATATTATTATAATCCCCATTTTGCATAAAAAACATAGGAAGAGCTTATAAAAGAGGTTCTGTTATAAATTAATCTACCCAACAGTATATACAAGTACATCTGAAACAAGTCGATTATTCATGAAAATAATCTGCAGATTAATCCATAATGTAAATAATCATTAGTTGCAGTCCTATAAATAGTTAAAAAGAATGTGATCTACCTCAACCAACTAAAACAGTAAAATACTGCTTTTACATCAATGCATGAATAATAGTTATCTAATAATAAGATATATTCCAGTATAACAGTCGAGGATGGGGGCCTTGAATAATTATACTTTTAATAATTTCAGAACCTTTTCCTTAATATACTTAATATACTGTTCATTGTGATGTTGGAACGGGTCAAAAAGTGCAAAGAATTATTGCATTTTATAGCTTAATATGCACAGACAATTCAGATATATCAGGTCTTGATTACACAGGCAATCCTTATTATTACAACCAATTAATTGCTGGTTTAGTCTGTAAACAGTTTGAGAAGAACAGAGTAGTGTCTATTACTCTTTAACATACAAGTAATCCACCACTTCATGCAACAGCTAAAGGATATGTCTCCCTGTCTTGTGATTCGTTAAATCGGAACAAAAGGTTTTTGGACTCCTTTGGGCTGGATTCAATAATGAACGGTTGAATATACTGTAAAGGACACTACAGCTTAAGCTAAAACAGTTTATACACAGTACACCAGTGGTAGTAAGGTAAAGCACAGTGAATATGTCTGACAGTTCAGTTGTGAAGAGCACAAATGATATATTATTGTTGAAAGATGTGTTGAGAGCAAAGTATGCAAACTATCAGGGTGTGAATGCTTTCCAGACTGACTGCAGATAGTTCCATAAATCAAGCTCAGTAATATGCCCCGTAGCTGGGGCTGGCCAAAAGCGCTCCTCTTATTTCCTCTTTTTTTTAAATATTTCAAAGGATAAGAAATCACAACATCATGTAATGCCCCTACTTGTCCAACGACGTTCCTTGTGACACTATTGTCTACCAACATTGTTGTAGAGATGTCTTTGTTGTCCCCTTATAGGTTGATACAAGCTTATCTCATTCTGTTGAAAGAGAAAGAGTCAATTGTAGTCCTCAACACTAACAGGTATGGAAACAAAGGTTTTGTCTTATCAAGCTTGACAGAAGCAAGGTCATTGGCTATTATATCAGAGTGAAAGCAATTATCCTTCTGCTCTCAGTAGGTAACAAAGAGGGGATCGCCTCGAGGGACCAGTATTGAATATGCTGAAGAGTTGAAACCACTTTAACCTGATGGAACTTGCTCCAAGAGTTGTGATGCTTAGGAATGTCTGCATTGTTAAACTCCAAAGTGTTTTCCTTAAGTGTTAACCTGTGGAGGCAAGAGTGGAAAATGGAGAGTGAAGGGTGCGAAGATAAGGGAAGGGTCCATTCCTCCAAGAAGAAGAATGACGATGGAGAGGCCTCATGCTGTCATCCGACACCAGGGACTCTGTGGAGACTCTTGGCGGGCACTGTCTGCATGCGGCTTTGAAGAGAACATTTCACATTGTTTATTAGCAGAAGCCCTTATTCTGGGTAATTCATTTATGTCTTCATTTATAATTAGCTTGATGTGATAAGATACCTAATGAGATACTAACCTTGGAAGGCAGAAATCTTGGCACTCAGGGTCTGCATCAAGCACAGCACAAATGCAGCGCTGAGTCTTTGCCCCCTCACGCTCAGTTGCTTGTCCAGTGACAGCCCGTCTGACTCGCTGAGATCCTCTGTAGCTCGACATTCCATAGGGCACAGTGCGTCTGACGAGGTAAAGAAGACAGTGGTATTTAAGTAAAACGAAAAACAACAGATGTTGAATATTGGTAGCTATTGTTTCCGCTGTATGTATTCCCTGTTTCTGTTTCCCTCTAGTTCCTCTACACAGGTGTGCTGTGTTGCTGCAACAAGGTTAAGACAAGGTGCATCTGGAGAAGGAAGAGGTTAAAAGCTCCAGTTCAGCAGCAGAAGAGTCTGTGTTCTATTTGGGTCAGTGCTGGAATTGTGTTAGTTCATTTTGAGTTGGTTGGTTGAGTGTGGTTGTTGCTGTTTGTTTAGTTGGGCATTTGATTAGTTTACCAGCTTGCAATTTCAGTTTTGAGCACCCTGACTAGTGAGTCACCGGGCAGGTTTGAAGATCTTGCCACTTTTTTTTGCCTCTCTTGGTGGTAATCCTGAGTGGGGGTACGCTTCAGTGCATCGCTGTAGGCTATATCTATGGTCTTCGGTGAGTTCAGCGTTTAAAGTCGCTTCAAGCTCGCCCAACTAAGTTAAGCAAGCCATCTCCATCAGCAGCTCAGGGTTGGGGTGCCTCTCACTACTGCTTTTTTCCAGTTTTGCACAGCAACTCGTGCCTCTACTTTTAGTTTGGCCATTCTGTGAAGCTGTAATAAATGAGAGACTTCTCAAATGTGGACCCAACTTTAGTAGCCATCAAACAGGCATGTATACTCTTTTTTTTTCCAACTATAGAGTGAGAGTTCTGACTGCCGGGGAAGTTAAGATTTCAATTAAAAGCATGCAGATGATACAGGCAGTACTCTCAGTACAACATATCCTATGTTGTACATACTAAGGGCCCAGCATTTAAAACCTCTAGAACTGATATACTATTGATGAAACAGTGGTGATGTAAAAGATGGCCAGAGAGTCGGTGAAAGTGCTTGAAAAACTTGAAAGATATCTCCTATAGATCAAATCAAATGTCAAAATGTCTGTCCCTACCCCCCAAATCTAGGATGCCACTGTGAATGATTGGTGTCAAGTTGGCATCATTTCGTTCTTTTTTCCACTCATCTATTTAAAAGAAAATCTGTAATAGATTGAGTAACAAAAAATATGCTTTACGATCTATAAGGTCTTAAGGGATAAAGAGGAAGAAGAATGTGTTGTACAATAAACCAATCAAAGCATCAGAATAGCAGGGCAAAAAAACACTGATCTATCAAGTCTGTTTCCATAAGACATTTGAGATAAAAAACTAGATTGACATTATGTAGATAAATGGATTTTCCTTGTACATTTGCCAGATTTTCCGACTGTGGCCTCTATATGATTGAATACCTGCTGCTACCACTGTGTGAGCCCAATCACGCAGCCTGTCTATTTATGACTGAATACCTGACTGACCTCAGGGTAAAAGGCTTCACAGCTAGAAACGGCACTGGTGTTTCAATATTGTGTCTCAACGTGTCACAATAGGGTCTGGAAATACTGATATCAGCTTTGACTATTATCTGAAGTGGAAGAAGGACTTCTTAATGGAAACCTGCCTTTAAAACAATATGGAAAGCAGAGTAAAAGTATGTTAATTATAATTGCATTGTGGAGAAGAGGTCACAAGACAAGAAAGAGCGATACATACACACACACACACTAATGCTTGCAAGCTATAGGCTTGTGAGCCAATAATAAATAGCTCCTCTGGAGAATTAGAGCTTTACGGGAGGTAGGTAATACCCTTCCTTTTTCTACTTTTAATGCAGTGACTTTATGAAACGTTAGCTCAAAGGAACATTTTTTAGGAGGTTAATCTTCTATCACGGAGGCAGAGCACCCCACAATGTGAGCACACATGTGAAAACAGACCTACCGCTTTATACAATAATATCAGTCTTAAAACTATTTCAATTTGTTTTGTGTTGCCGACAGCAAAGTTGGCACACGACGAAAGAGTATGAAATAATTATTTCCTACTGTCTTGCCAGAGATTGTAATATGTGGTAAGAAGGTGGCAAAATAAGTCCTCTAAAGAAAAAGGTGTTGGAAATTAAATTGTAAGGTTTTGCTACTAATTTGCGGTGGACATGCCACATGTTGAAAACACCTTGTAAGCACATATGTGGTAAAAAAGTCTTCTGGCTGTTATTATGCCAACTGGTCATATAATATTTCATGGTTCCGCTTCACCCGCAGAGTCAACATAACTGACGGTGGGCAGTTGGCATGCCTCTGGCCTGGACAGGCTCTTGGTGAGCAGAACCAATTGTGTTGGTTCTCCCAGGTTCAATCCACCGAATTGTGTTCCTTCCTCAGTCTTTGTCCATACTGTATACATGAAAGAATACAGTGTCTGTGCCAGATGAATACAACTTCACCAGTGATTTTTCATAATGTTTGCCTCAAACTTGAGATTCACTTAAACTCATAGAGAAATCGACTGTTATTTCTGAATGCATGGATTCCGGATCTCCTGTATCATGGATTTTTGTTTTATTTTTGCCTTGCCTAGTTTTGCTAGGGACACGTTGATATTTTAGACTACTTCATATCTTAATTCTTATTATTGTCATTAGTAGAATACATTTGTTTTAATTGAGCCTGAAACACAGCGTTCACACGAACAATCCATCATTACAGTTTTTCTGGATTGCTAACACACAAAAATTATACATAAAGCACAATTATTTTAACTGACACTCAAAGAGCAAAACATCGGCTCAAATCTCCAAAACACGTTTTCAGCTTTTCACACAATTTGCAAATCAACATGGCACTTTTTGCAAACCACTGCACACGTTTCTCCACGTAAGACACAGGAATCTGACATAAAGTCACGTGTTAGCACATAAACATAACACTGATATTCAAAATGCCTCACACATGGACCAATGATCAAGAAACACGTTCCACCTGAACAAACACCTGATAGCATAATTGTTGGCTCATCAATCAGGATGTTAGCACTATAAAAAGACCACAGGTGAGTACTTTCTTACAGCAACAATGGAAGCCAACATAGAAGCAAGATCAAGAGGAAGAGCTGGGCTGAGAGTGAGAGGAGGAGGAAGAGCTGGGGTGAGAGTGAGAGGAGGAAGAATGAGAGGTAGAGGTAGATCTGGAGGGAGAGCACGTGGACAAAGAAGAATACTCTCTAATGAAATGTTATCAACCATGGTTTGACGATGAGAGAGGCTGGACACAGGGTTCAGCCTAATCTAAGCCGATTTACTGTCGCCTCTGTAATCCGGACACTTAGACTTGAAAACAGGTTAGTTTCCAGTTTTCAGCTCTGCCTAACTCATGATATATCAGTGCTTATATCTGTTGTGTGAAACGTATTTACTTCATTACTGTAATTGAATTGTTAGCATGTTGCAGACTATAACTGTACAACAATCCTGCACAATGTACTGTGGTAAACTCACTTGTATGCAACACAGACACTGACCAACCACTATATATTTGTTGTTTATCCGAAGGACTGAGAAACAATCTATTAAGAATGAAGTGTGCTATATTTGGTGCTAAAGTTTGCATTTGGAAAGTGTTAATGTAGTTTTGAGTGCAGTTCTTCACTTAGCAGGAGAAATTAGGTGTTTTGCACTTTGGGTGTGTGGTTTTGTGAATTGTGTTTAGTGTTCTGAGAAACTGAGCAATTTAAAAAAAAAAGTGTGTTAGCGATCGAGAAAAACTGTAAATTAGCCATGGGTTATTGCTGTTGGGCTACTGAAAGGAGCAAAAGGTGAAAAGGAGTAACTGGAGACAAGAACAGTAACAATAATAACCTCCACCTCACTGAGTTTAAACTTTGACCTTGGGCCAATTAGTTTCTGCTGGGCTTGTCATCACTTGAACCATGACTGCGTCCTAAAGCGTTTACCGGGCGTGACTTGCTACAATCAGGTTTCACAAAACCGCAACATGTCAATCAGTTTTATATAACCAATTACCACTCTTAACCCCCCCCTCCCCCCAAATATATTGTGCAAGCCCGCCCCGGAGATACTTGCTCAATAGCGCGTCTGGGTGGATCATGCGGAATTAAAGGTATTTTTCTTACTGGGGAGTGTTGATCCAGATTATATCCAAATGGCAGTAGTAGACGCACTCTTTATCCTTGTAAGAATAGCAGGTACAGCGCTTAGGTCTCGACTTTGCCTCCGCTGTTTCAGACAGCGGTGAACCTGAAGACCTCCCGGAGCCAAACGCACTGTTGGAGGCTGGCAGAGACCCGGGGATGACCTCGGATGTGAGGGAGGCGTGGGATGACAACACAGCTTGTATAGAGCAAGAAACGAGAAAAAAGTTAGAAATAAGCTATATAGAGGTAATTAAGAAACATTTTTAGGAATGAATGATTGAAATACAATAAAAGTGTCTTGAGCTTAACGACTCCAAAGTACCTTGGAGGAGAATTAATACCATCATGTTGAAAAGCATGATTTCTGTGAGGATGGATGTTGTCCTTGCCATGTCAGATATTCCCAAATTGAATCATAGCCCGGTGAGGATACAGCGCACTTGTCAAATGATTCTCCTAGCAGCACCGAGTGAAAATCGATTAACTTCAGTGTACATGTCCATGTTCAAATCATCTTATACGGTCCAGATGTAAAAAATGCGAGGATGCTGGTCGCGCGGTTCCTCTCATATTTATAGATTCGCGTCGTAAATCATACCTGTAGCATACACTTTGAAGAGAGAGGAAACTGCGTTAATTCCAAACAAATCGCTCTGCCATCACACAGCAAAAGGGTGCTTTGAAGTGGGGATCTGTGGAGCAAAGAGAGCACCGGTTCTCCTCTCAGTCACTTCGCATTCTAAAAGCCCCAAATCAAAGGTAAAGGGCTTTGGGGAGTTTTGGGTACACGCCCACGCTTGCCATAGGCCCAACCCTCTCTGTCAAACGCAGCAACATAACCGTGTGTGTGCATTGAGATGAATACTCCACTGAAGTTCCTGCACAACATGTAACATATAATCATTGTTGTATTTAAAGACGATAAAAGAGATTGTTCATCCAAATGGGACATTAATGATATTGTCTTTATACTGCAAATGAATCCATATGGTAATGAAGGCTTTCCCTTCTATATTGTAATTTACCCAGGGCCGTTTCATATGCCAGGGGTCTTCAACTCAAATTCAAGGAGGTCCAGTTAGAGAACATCTCCCCATGCAAAGGTCTGGAACATCAAAATGTCTAAGTTGCTTTATGAATTAGTGTGATATATATTGAAGTAGCCTGTAGCTTTATCAACGTCTGCATGTAATCAACAACTGACTGCCAATCAAATAAAGAAAGTACAATTTAAAAAAAACAATATTTATTGTCAATTAACATTACTTAAATACTGTGGATATGTGTAATGTTCCTCTCGGGCTGCATTTACAAATAAAATAGAGAAAATAAATAAAATAGCTTTTGAAAATATGTGCATCTTAAAAGTGCTTAATTTTAGATAAATAAAATAAAGTGTAGCAGCAGCTTGAGTTTCCCTTTTTCTTTGTTAACCGTTTCACATCATGACTTAACAGTTTCAGCCGATTATAGAACAATATCAGTCTTTACACATCATAACAATTGAACAGTTTTAAAGTTGCTCTTTCTTTCCCTCTTATATTGCAGTCCTTCACTCACTTTTTTTAAATTCAGTGTGAGAATTGAGCTCGAGCTTGTCCTGCCAGGAGTTTGTAAATCTGGGTTGACATGGAGTCAGGGCTATTCTCATACACATGCAGGTGCTCATTGGTTACAGTGATGCAAACACAGGTATGGTGAAAAAAGAGAGAACTATTCGAAGCAGAAAAAAAACAGCGTAATATACCATCTGACAAAGGCCTGTGCTATAATGCTTCAATTAACTGCTATTCTTTATAATATACTCAGATCAATAGGAGACAGAGATGTTAAGCTAAAAATCAAGGGCTTTTATTATTATTTACAGCAGGGGTGGGGAGCCTTTTTCCTTTCAATTTTTACAACATCCTCCGAGGGTCGTACAAATTATTGAACTCAACCTTTGCTTAAAAAAACTAAAATCACAGCCCATTAATTTGGCCTTTCTTTCATGCTGTGCACAGAAAAAGCAACCTCTTAATCCAGATATTTCACCATGACTCACGTATGCATGCATGTGCACGGTGTGGCATGACCACCAAAACAGAAAGATATGGACACAAGATGTGTGCAAATGTATTTAGTATCCTATCCATGTGAACATGATTTAAGTGGGGGGGGGGGCCTAACCTCCTCTAGGGGGGTCCGGGGGCATGCTCCCCCGGGAAGATTTTTTTTAAATATTGATAATAAAAGCATCAATCTAGTACACTTTGAGAGCAACATTAAGAGATCTATGGATACATCTCTCAACACCCATATGAAACAGAACTGTAAGCATATTTTTCTTTTTGGATATTTTATAAATCACTCCCCTTTTAAACTCTATTCTTGTTATTTTTAACAACTTTTTTGTTACTGTCATATAGTATTTTATACCTGTTTTTCATTTAGTCTCATTAATAACTATAATGATCATATCAAGGTGTGCCTTAACCTCACTGAGCTGAGGTTATTTGAGCCTCTCAGGAGATAGCTCTCTTCCACCTGGTTGTAGAAAAGCTCTTTAAATTCGTTAGCATAGCTAGCTAACCAGATGCTAATAACAACAGATCGCCACTGTGCTTACAACTAAAGACACAGCCACGCAAACACTGCGGCATGTGTACGGCTCCTTATGGGTATTGCAATATGTTAAGGGCTGGAGCGGCGTTCCGGTGCTCTCTGTCTGCACTCCTTTCAGGTGAGACATATACCACGTGAAGACACGTTACGCTCGTGTTGTGTTCAAGGAACCTGTCCTTGGCCAGGAAAAACAGGTACTCACTTGTTTAATTATTTTTGCGGTCTAGATTTCTTCTTCTTTTTTGAAGTGAGAAGTTGTCCATCAGTCAGACTGACGGACGGACTCCCTCCCCCCCACCCCCAAAACGAAAACTCTTCGGTTCTCCACGAATTACGCAAATCACCCAAATCAGCGTTAAAAAAGCGGGAGGCGCCGAAAAATCCACTATTAATGTATTGATTATAGCTCCGGGTCCGTATAGGTCGGCATCTGGGTCCGGATCCGGACCGCGGTCCGCCTGTTGCCAACCCCTGCTATATGCGGACTATGCGGGGGAATAGGGCCCCCGCGGCCACTAGGGGGCCCCCAAGCTGAAAGTATTTTTTATTTATTTTTTATTCATCCGAAAAAACAAAAAAAGTTTAATTCATACACACAAAGATGAACAAAATTAGTAGAAGCGGGAGGGCTGAAGCATAGCTTGTGGAAAGTAGCCCTCCCGTGCATCATCCTAATACAGCCGCATGATTGCGTCAAAAATGTATAGAAATTAAGGAGTACAAAGAAATAAAGAAAACAGGAGAAAAAATTAAATAAAAGTTAGGGCAGGAAAACAATAAATGCATATATATACGAAAACTAGATATAGGGTCATTTTCTGCACATGTCAATAGCAGTTTCAACTATCTTTTTTTGGAAATTAAAATACTATATATACATAGGTACACATGCACTTGGCAAATGAATAATAATAATAATATATGCATAATTGCATATAAACATTGTGAACACTTATTTTCAAGTGACTTTTTTTACATTCATATGTTCACGCTGTGGTTTGGAACTGCTTTTGAATGTTAGTAGGCATTTTCTTATGGAAAATGTTGTGCATAATCAGTACTGTTTTAAGCTGTACTATCTCAACACATTTTAATAGATTGAGTTTTTTTTAAATATGGGAGTTGTGTGTTCATATTTACCAACACCACAGACTATTCGTAATTATTTTTTGTAGATTTGTTGAGTACGTGTTTCCCCATATTTCGGAGCAGTAGTAAAGGTAAGGGAGAAATAGACTGTTATAAAGAGTATCCTTTCTTCAAGAATGTTCTTAGTATGATACAAAATACCTATTGTTTTTGACAGTTTAGTCTGTACATAATTTATATAGTGCTACCAATTGAGTTTTTCGTCAACAAGCAGTCCTAAAAATTTGCATGCACCAACTTTTTCTATCTCTGTATTGCAAATCCGTATAATGCAGTCATTTCTACTCTCAGACTTTGTATTGAATAACATGTAATTTGTTTTTGGCCACATTAAGGGATAATTTATTAACTGCAAACCAGTTACATAGTATTTTTAATTCTGCATTCACAATTTTAACAAGATCACCAAGATTATGATGGGAGCAGAGAATTCAAAGTTCAGGTTCAGCCTCAATATATTTGGGGAGAATTAAAATGAGCCGTCTTTATTTGTAGACAGCCAAGCCCCCTCCTGTGAGTGTTCCGTGAAGCATTATATGCTTACAAATCCAATGTAGGATATAAACACGACTAAACTGCAATGATAGCAAAGCTGTGGCTTGAGTTTTTGGGGTAAAAAAGTCCAAATCATCGTTGGGCTGACAGCTGAGAAAATGCTGCATCTCTTGCATTTATTGACATAGAGGAGCCTTATTGTTTACCTTTTTAATATCATTTTTTGTAATTTTCAATTGCTTGGTTTTCGTGAAATTAGCCTGTTTTCCTATTAAAGTGTAACAGATTGATGCATCTCCACAGATCAACTTAAAGGCTTCGGAATCCCCCCCATTGTAGTTAAACAACTATCAAAACTAGGGCCCCCAAACAGCATCTTGCATAGGGCCCCCAAAAAGCTAGAAACGGCCCTGAATTTACCTATAAATCAGAACCACTAACACCTCACAAAATTATCAATCTGGGTTCTCCAAAATGAAAATATGAATCACAAGGTATGGTAAATGTATTTTTCCTTAACATTTCTTACAGTGGAGAGTAAGTTGAAATATGCATGTAATTCATATACAGTTTCCAGGCCTATGGTAGGCTATGATGTATTATTACTATGAGCAGGAGAGTTAGCTAACTGTTTGTGAGAGTATAACCCCACTGATCTGAACAAACTAACCCCAAGGCCATCTGGCTGCGCCACACAGAGGTACTGTTTTCCCTCTGCAGTCCATCTGCAGTATTACTGTGTCTATTGTCATGGAGAGCTATAGGCTTTGACAAGTGGTTAGGTGTACATAAATATACCATATTTGTCAAGATCAAACAATTTGCATAGAATTACAGCTCACTATTTGTGCGTAATGTTAATATGACTAAGGGACGCGTCATATTGTAAAAGTGTATTTGTCTTGAAATGGATCACAAATAATGAAATGTAGTCGATGTAACACTCGTGGTTTGTTGTAGGTCTCAATGAGGGGGACACTGTTTTGATAGTAAATTGCTGTTGACTTTTAGTGTGATTGTCTAAAATGAAAAATGACCACAAGTGTCAAAACCAGTACACCTTGAATGAAGTGAGTGGCCTAATTGGACCTTCTGTCCCATAGAACAAGAACACCCTCCATGTTCTAGTTTCAGTGTGCCAATGACACCAGCATAGTTTCAGAAGGTTAACAAGAACCCTCTGAAGAATACAAAGACGAGGTAGGTTAACGCTTTGCGTCTGCACAGTATTGAAACTAACTGTTGTGGACAGACATGTCAAATTGTTTCAGTGTGGTGGAAAGTGGAAAATAACAGCTCATAATCCAAGGCAAACCACCTCATGTCAGACATAGAGAGGATAATATAGCAGGACGATGACCCTAAACATGCAGCCAAACTTCTATTGTGTTTTATTGGTCCAAACAGTGAAATGCTGTTGACTGATCGAGCCAATCACCAAACTTCAGTCAAATTTAGTGTGTTTCTCTTACTGAAG